ACCTGACCATGTGCATGTAATGGCTGCTGAAATCCAAGGATATGAGGAATTGGAACAGTATCGCATAGTCTGGATACGCAGAGGCGAGATAACACAGCAAGCATGATGTTGTGCACCTGACGTGGCGTACAAGTTAGCCAATACGCGGAGGATGATAAGCACAAGACACGCACCGGTCGGTCACCATATCTAGAACAGCACCAAACTTCGAGGTCTGCTGAAACCTCCTCGCCGCTTGGCCGTCCACGGCATCGAGAAGACACGATACACAGTACGCGACGGTGCAGTACTTTGGATGATAGCTCATGTAATGTAACGAAAGTCCGGCCAGGATGATTCGTGTGTAGCCTGGAAAAATACGCTCGTCACCCATGCCGTTATCCAACAAAGAAACAGCCGACATACCTATGAGATTAGGAATGAAGAGAAATACGTTCTCAGAGTATGTCTGAGCAGTCGCGAGATCGACTGCCTCCTTCGCGTTCACCACGTCAGCCGTCGGCCTCCTCCGTCGTAGTTCAGCAGGTGTGTCTGCCGCCATCGTAAGAGTAGATTAGAGCGTGTATGTACCGGGCGAAGAGGAGACGAAAGGAGGGAACGGAGAATGGAATGGGGAAATGAAGAGGAAAAACGAGCGAGCCGTTTCGTGGACGTACTTCGCCGGATCAGGCTTTTCAGTTGGTCAACTAGAGCGCACCCCTTCCGGCATGTCACCGTTATTTCGTCACACTCGGTGTCAATGAGAGCTGCTGAATCCTATCGTTCCGGGATATCCCAGCACGGTGTGCAGCATACATATAAAATAATAAAACCAATCCCCATTATGGCCGTAGTACACTGACAGGTCCGCAAAAGAGAAACAAAGGATACATATAGATACTCATAGTCCATCGGTGTGGATAACGACTCAGCTTTGGATTAATTGGACTTGCTTTTCCCCCATCCTGAAGCACCGAAACCAATCCCGAGCACCAGGGCAAGAATGGCAATGATAATAAGGCATATCACGAAGCAGATAATTCGCTTCTTCCGTGCAGAGCGAGCATGCTCAACAGCGACGTTGGTGTGCTTGAGCCTGTCAAAAACTTAGTGACATGCCAGACAGATGGGAGATATAGTTCCAGACGCTACGCACCCAGCCTCAGTGTCGCCTTCAACCTTGGACGCCGAAGTCTCAATTACATTGATGGTATCATCCTGTTGCGCGACCAAGACGCTCATCTAGAGAGAGAAGGACATCTTTGAGACAAGCTCAAACCGTGCAAAGGGAAGACGTACATCAGCAATGAGTTGGTTAAGCTCTCCGAAAGTCTGCTCGATTTTGCGAATATCTTGATGACGTTCCTGCACCTCTTTGTAGGCGGCCCTGGATTGACCGTAATGGTCCGAGGTCGAGAGCTGTGGATCGGATGAATTGTAAGTTCACTGCGAGACACCCTTTTACAGTAAATTCACTGACGGCCTGAGCAAATATTTGCTCCCCTCCTCCACCACGATCATCGTTCACAACGGCGTTGATTTCTTCCCGTGTTGCGTCGGGCTTGACTGTGGTAACTATGTTCAAATGATGTAGGGAAAGGCAAGGGTTTGTATATACCGATTTTAAATTGGCGTTCAACCCGTTGCTTGTACCTATCACGGTACTGTGCCTCCACCTGCTGGTAGTTTTGCAATGACTCTATAAACTTCCGCTGGAGCAAAGTAGACTGGAAATGACAAGAAACGCATAAATCGGCAAGAGCACGCTTGGAGAAGATATTCGACGAACTTGGTTCTTGCGTTGTTGCGCATCTTGAGCAGTCCCTGGAAAGGCAGCTAGAGCCTTTGTCCTCTCCCGTAGACTTTTGCTCAAGGACCGTGTTTCTTCGACAAGCTCGTCGAGCTGTGCAGCGTTCTGGTGCGTCGTGGACTCGTCCGCGACGTTCAATGAGCGCGAGTGAAGATCAGAGATCCTGGAGACATTGGTATCGAATTGTTGCAAGGCGTTGTGGATAGACGTAACCTGTGGATGGGTTAGGAGGCACACACGAGTAAAATTACTTCGTGCTGATTTACCTCAGCATAGAATGCAGGCATCCCAGTTCCTCCATTAGTGTCGTTCCCATTGACGGGTGTCAGTTCATGTCGCTCGTTACTAGGGCTGTCTCGAGCGTCTCTTTTGGCCTGTGTGATGCATGTCAGAGCGTCTCCTCTCCTTTCAAAGTGTGAGAAGCGGCGCACCCTGAGAGCCTGAAGACGGTCCCGGTGAGCCATTTCTATTTCCTGATATTATAGAGTCGTGGGCGACAGTCAAGCGCTCAACGACGAGGATAATAGTAGAGAACGTAGGGTACGATGCGCTGAGCAGAGGAGGCGATGAGCACAGGGAAATCTTACATAGTCGTGATTTGGGCCCGCCACCCGCTCGGCGCCATACAATTATTGCCGTGGGAAAGTAATTATTGTCGGCAATTTGGCGGCTCTTCCGGGCGGGCCATTGACTGCCATCGAGCTCTCCGACTCATCCCCTCCCAAACCTTTCCGAGCCCCAACCGGAAGTCTAGATGTACTGAAAGCTTTTGCAAATCATGTATGTTTGTTGGCCGTGTGAACGATCTCTTATCCTTAGGCGCTGGTGACCAGATTCTATTTATGGCGTGAGTGTGGACGTACGGAATCCCCTTCAGCGGGTTTTCATGCATGCTCACGCCAGCAGAGCGTCGAGTTCGGATACCGAGTCGGTCGAAGGCTGGGGCATTGGTCACAGTCTACGGATAACGAGTGGGTTCGTGTTTTCTCGCGGGTTAAGTAGGTCAGGCGGGCCGTGTTTCCCTTGGCGGCGCATGCATGTGGGTCACGTACTTATGTGGGTCGTTCCAAACGATGTCGGTGCACGCATGTGGGTCGTTTTGCGAAGTCGGCGGCAGATTTTCCATCGTTTCCATTGCAGTCATCGTGTAATGTCGGCGCAGACGTACGCGTATATGCGGCGATTGCGAATTTGCCGCCAAATTGCCGCCTTTGTCGACTCGACGTTTTTCCCCCTCACGCGATCAGCGACTGCGCTCCCCCCTATAAAACCAGACAAGAGTGTGGGGTATCGGAACGCATCCCCTCGCTACTCAAAGAACATCCTTCAATCACTACTCTGAATCCCAATCGAAAATGGTCCAAACTGCAACGCTCGGCGGTACCGCCAAAGATGTGGTAGTCGCTAAAACAGGGGTAAGCCGTCCCCGCATAGTTTTGCGTCCCGTAAATGCTGACCTTGAACCTCCGCAGCTCGGTGTTATGGGGATGACGTGCGTATCCGCAGCGTTTCGATGAGGGGAGGGAATTTCTGACCGTTACTTTAGGTGGACCCCCAACCCTGTCCCCGATGAACAGGCATTTGCCGCAATCAAAGCGGGAATTGACGCGACACCCGCTGGCGCCAAGTTGCTTCTGAACAGCGGTTCGTATCTCCACTCATCACGACGCGCTTAACTTACGAATCGATTGGCTCAGGCGAGTTCTACGCGCATGACTTGGACGTGGGCAATCTCCAGCTGTTAGCCAGGTTCTTCGAGAAATATCCCGAGTACGTGGAAAGGACCTTCCTGTCAGTCAAAGGAGGCGCAAAAGCTAGAACCTTAGAAACCGATGCATCGTGAGCAAATTGCTTGTCTGCTGAATGCGCCGACTCACATCCGCTCCAGTCCAGAGAACCTGCGTCGCAGCGTTGACGCAATCAATGCCGCGCTCCGTGGGACGAAGCGCCTTGATCTTTTCGAAAGCGCACGCGTCGACCCTAAAGTGCCGATCGAGGAGGCTATCAAGACACTCGTCGGACTGATCAAGGAGGGGAAACTCGACCACATCGGCTTGTCGGAGTGCAGCGCAGAGACGCTTAAGCGTGCCAACGCCGTGCATCCCATCGCCGCTATCGAAATTGAAGTCAGTCCGACGTCTTATGAGGAGGAGACAAAGAAGGGTGCGTCATATCGACTGTCTTAATCCATCTTTCGTTGTCTGATGCACCAGCATCCAGTTTTGGCCACGGCCCAGGAGCTCGGGGTCGCCGTAGTAGCGTATTCGTACGTCTATGAGCCCTACATTCCTAACCCACTACTGAACTCTCGACATTGAATTTTAGACCACTCGGGAGAGGACTTTTCACCGGTGAAGTCAAATCCGCCGCTGACATTCCAGGTATGCTTGTTGCCTTTACCAGCAACGGAGACAACACTAACTAATTGCACAGAGGGGGACATCCGTCGCCACCTCACGAGGTTCAGAGACGATGCGGTACGTAGCTCTGCTGCAATGTCCTGGAGAAGTTGTCCTGACATCACCACAGATCTTCAAACACAACCTTGGCCTCGTCGACGCAGTGAACACCATCGCGGAGAAGAAGAAAGTTACGCCTTCTCAGCTCACCCTCGCATGGGTCTCCGCGCTAGGTCCACAAGTCATCCCCATTCCAGGCTCATCGTACGTCCTGCATTCGACCATCACTCTTACCGTTTTCTGACTATCTCGTACTCTACAGAAAGGCTAGCCGGATCGTAGACAACGCAAAGGGCGGCTCCCTTGACTTGACGTCGGAGGAGAAGGCCGCCCTAGACAACATTGTGAACAACTATGAGGTCAAGGGCGACCGGTACTTTGGAGGTCCCGAGCAGGCGCATCTGTGGGGCTAAGTGCGCGCGCGATAGAAGAAGAAATACGCGCTGTCATGACTTTATTGTATTTGTGTCTGAAGCCGGAGCTGTACTACCCTCGTATACGATATGTAAAATGTTGAACACAGTATGCGATCCACTTCCCTTGAAAAGCATCGAAAAAATATTTCCGATGGCGAGAACCGACCCTGACACTAAAAAAGGCCTGTTTCGCGTCAACGGCGGCTTGTCTGCAGACGCCACAAAATACGTCCTACCTCTTACCTCGAAACTAAAAGATGACCGGCGGTCCTTAGGCTCTATCTTGAGGAGGTAAAAAATGTTCTCCCTCTCAAAGTGGCCTCGAGGAAAAGGTATTTCCGGTACCGGGAATCGAACCCGGCGCTGCCGCGGATGCCGTCACGTGACTGTTGCTTAGTCATCCTCGTGAAAGGCGGCAATGTTAGCCGATACACCATACCGGAGACTTGGAAGGGATGATTTTTGCGGAGTATAGTCTGCATCACGTAAGATGAATACTACCTTCCCGATATGGATACTGCAGCTCGTCCGTACGCAAGCGAACTTGAAATTGATATTGAACCTGGAAACTTGCTAAGTAGAACCACCCTCAGGCTTATTCCCTCCTTAAGTGAAGCCTTCGCCGGTCGACACGTCTACTGTCTACCACGTCACAAAGATGAGCCACAGCATCCCGCTTTTTGTCGCATGACTTACCGCCACCGTTGAATCCTCCATCCCGGCGCTCCTGGAGTCCTATAGGCTACAGCCTCTACCTTGCCCCGTCCATACTCTGACTTGACGAGGACGGCGATACAGTAGCGTCAAATCATGAAAGAGAAAAGGCAATGACTTCCAGAATTGTTTTTTTAACCGTGCTGAGCACGGTGCACCTTCGAGGGAGCAGTATGAGCACATCTCAATCTCAACGTATAGTGCTTCGGGTCCTTTTGCAGTGCGTTCGATATCTATTTCATCTTTTCATTGCTTAGCACCGTGGACTGTACATTCTCAGGCATAGAATGTAGCACATATCTGTGACAGAACTTTCGTATGTGCCATGCACCCACCACTGTGCACCCATGTCAGCGCGCTAGGACTATTCATGCACGTATGACCGCCCTTGTTATGAAGACCCCGCCCCCCCTGCCTTCAACTGTCTGGACGGATAGGCTGACAGTGACTGCATCGCGGACGTAAAAAGTTCGAATAGCTGGTCGTGTTCAAGCTGATGCCTACATAGATGTCGACGCAGAGAATTTAAGCGCAGGGTGGATGGTAGGATCGACATGGGGCTCCCTAGTGTCCACCTTTGGAACTCCTGTACGGACAGCCGTGCCTCTGTGGGTATTCGAATACAGTACTAGTCTTGGTGCATATGTAAATAGATGGTCTCTGCTGTCGCGAATCAGTACTCAGTGCTCAGCTCTGTAATATCGCTGCAAGTAATGGTGCCGGCACGAACGCGAGGCCCTGGTCAGTGTGATGATCATCATACGATGAGAATACGAGTCTCGTCAATGTCAGGTTGTGGATACATTTCAGGACTAAACTAAGTCTACACCACGCACAAAAATCCCGAAATCAAGCAAGAACAAATGCGACCGGGAAAGAAAATGAAAAAAGACGGAAAACCCAGCCTCCCCGATCCTACCCCACATCACATCCAGTGCGCGTGTTGGCGTTATTCCAACCCAATAATGATATCGGAGCTCGTGCTCACGCGTCATGTTACATGAGTTCCCCCACCCTTTAGCGCACTGATTCTTGTGAGATCTAGAGGTGGCGGCCGATGCATCTCCCCGCTAGAATTCGTCCGTGACCGTGTACGGGGGCCAAACGGCTTCGAACGTGGCGGAGATGAGCCAGGGGAGGCTGTAGATAATGATGGCGTCGGCAGCGACCCTGTCGTAGGCGGCGCAAACGGTGTGGTAGACGACAGGACGGACGAGTTGTCGACGGCCGGTGCAGAGGCGGCTTCAGCGGGAAATTTGAAAGCCGCTGGCGGTGGTTTGCGGCGACTTCTGGCAGGCTTATCGAAGGGATTTTCTCGAGGCCAGTCGCCCAGTGGCGGCGGTGACGACGTAGAGTTACGTACGACGAGTGGCCGACGGCTGCGACTAGCTGTTGTTGGTAACGCAGGCTGGACACTTTGAGGATATAGTGAGGGCTCTGGGGGTGAGGAGTGTAGAGCGTGCTCTGGAGGAGCGACGAGCGGAGGAAGGTCGATTATCGTAGGCATAGGCATACTGAAATGGTCGATCTGGTATTCCGACCCAAGGCCATTTCTGTGTGAGTATAGAGTAGCGGGCGCTGGGCGCCGCGGCTGTGGTGCAACGATGTGCGTGCTCGGCGCTTTCTTCAGGAAACGCGGGAGGGTGGGGGACGACGGTGGGCTTGGGAGACATTGTCTGCCCTCGTTCCATTCCACGTCTCTGACGCTAGTATGCCAGATATTGGGGTATCGATGCTGTATCCCCAGAGCACCCTCGATTAATAGAACGAGGTAGATCAGCACTGTAGATCATGAGTTAATTGGACAGCAAGGACCGTTAGTGAGTGATGGAATGCATACATATGATTGTACACATCCAAGAAAACGCCATCAGGACACGCGTCGACGTGCAGCCATCAAGCAAGAGACTGACTGGCACACGAAAGTTAATCTCCATCAGCTGCCTCCAGAGAACCAGGGGATTCTGAAGTAATTACCGTCCGGCTTGCACATGATGCTGGGAACCATTACGGAGACGGCCACCGCTCCCGCTATTATACACAGGTTGAGTACAGCTCAACGATCAGAGACATGACGAAAACATACCAAACTCCATTGCTAAGTAAACTGACAGCCATGTACACTCTACCCACAAGCGTTTAGTGATAGGCTCCCTGACTCCGAGTTCGACGAATATACTGTCGCAGGACACCGTTGAATGCGCGTCAAGTCAGCGTCAACATGAACACTCACAGGAAGAAAATAAGCGCCAAACCGGAGGCGCCAACAAATACAAGGAAAGCGTCTACGCCCACTGCTCGCAACGATAATGAGCCATATGCACTCCATGGTCGGGAACAGACGCACAATTGATTCCATCGGACTGAGCGATGCCTAAGTTCCAGACGGCCACACTCGCTATAATGGCATTACAGACAATGAAAGCGGCTATACAGAGGGAATGAGCATGCCAGCAAGCCGCTTGACAACGGGGAACGGTATGACATACCAAAAACAATGTACCGGTAGGCCAGGATGACATTCTTCATAAGCATGATCGACGCATGCAGGAGAGGTTAAGAGAGTGTGATGGGCAGCCGTTCGACGGCCGTCTGGACGTGGTTAAGAGCAAGAAGGAGAAACGAGAACTTAGGCGCGCTCTGCACGAAAAATACAGATATGGGACATGGAACCTTGCGGCACTCGCCCGGCGAGGACGCCACCTGGGGAAATACATAGATTGGCACCACGTGGCCGGTGTTCCTAGCAAAACGCGCTGAACCTTCTTGCTCTCGATGATCAACAAGAACTCGAAGCATTTGCAGAGATTTGCAGTGTAGTGAAAATCGACAACAAGAATAATGATTAGATGCAGTGGACACAGCAAGTGCGATACAGAATAGCAGAGTAAGTAATGGTATGTGCGACAGTCTGAAAGTAGTAAACGTAGTTAGTCCATGCCAATCTAAAAAATAAGTCCATCATCCCGGCTCAAGGACGCCCCTGCGAAACTCGTCGGAGACGTGGGGACTGTCGCAAACTGCTTCAGCATTTCCCGCTTGAGGGGGGCATTCGCAGTGGACGCCCGTTGACGCCGATTGTGATGATGTTGCCGGCCCGGCGTTTCGAAAGTGTGCAGAGAACCCGGTGTCCCCCATTTGTATGTCTTCCGAGGATTGGCTCTCATGCACTGCTGCTTCCTCATTCCCACCGCGGTCGCTCGAGTCCACGCCACCGGAGGAGTTCCCAGGTTGTGGTGGGGGCGGACGCGAGAACGTCGAAAACGTCGTACCACCATGCTTTGATGCGAGACGCTTCAAGAAACGTGGTCTGGGGGGTGGAATGCTCTTTGAGACGTATGCGCGGACGCCTTCCGATGGGTCTTGCGACAGATGACGAGCGAGGTTGACCAGGGGCTCCGGTGGAGATTGTCCATCACGGATGGTTTGACCTGTTGAACACAGATAGCTCGTGTTGAGAAAGCACCCCGTCGGTGACCAACATATTTGACATACCGTGCACAGCCCCAACTAGGCGCGCAAGTCCTATCCGCACGCCTAGAATATCATCGTCAGCAAGCGCTGCAAGCGCTTTCCAACATCGATGATCATCCGACGGCATTTGTACCGCCTCGCGGGTGTCATCGCTAAACAAAAGCGCCTGCTGGCAGGCCACAAACCTGTAATAAAGATCGGTTAGACGAGCGTTAGAATAAACAATGTGATCCAACGTACGTCATGCGATGTCGGAACGAAGAAGAGACCGCCAGTCCTCGAAGATCCGTATTCAGCTCTTCCAGGATATCGTGACGCGCACTGAACGCTTTCCATATCAATGGCAGCTATGTCGGCCCGATGTGAGTCTCGATCTTTCGAATGAGGCTAGCAAAGAATCACTCACAGCAGACACAGCAGCCTCCCTCACGGCTGCAACATGATCGACCAGCCCTCTCATCAGCAAGCCTCTGATCACCTCGGGCTTCTCGTTGCCCAGCAGTGAAACAAGCCCCTTCAACAGCCCCACAACAGTCTCCCGTTCCCGCCAACCCTTCAGTAGACCTTCCTCCCAGACTTCGCCAAGACCCTCTAAGATCTGTTCCCCCGGGCCCTTCCGGTCACCCAAAGCCTCCACGAACGGTAAGACACTTTCAACCGCCTTCAACCGCACCTCCCCATCCTCTTCACACCGTACCGCATCCCACCACACGCCGACCAGATCACGTCGCGCGCTCTCCGGCCCCACAATTTTGCCCAGCTCGCCTAAGCTCGCCGCGAGCGTGCGTCGCACCTTCGGTGTGCGGTCGGCCGCCAGCTCGAGGTACAGCTCGCGTAGATCGCACCAGCGGTCGCGCCCCAGTGTCAGCGCAACCGCGGGCATATTGAATGCGCAAACGAGCGGCCGCGCCGGGTCCGTATAGAACGACTCGAGGGCAGAGACATTGGGGTGCTCCTGCTGCGGTATTCCCAGGGCCTCCCCAAATGCTGACGATGCAGGGTCCGGATGCAACTCGCCCTGTTGCTCGTCTCGGATGCGCCTGTCCTCTTTCCGGCCCACGAAGAGCTGCACCAACTCCTCCGGCACATCGGCGTCGTCTTTCTCTGGGTGGCGTTTCACCTCCTCAGGATGTTGCTCGGCCTCCTCGTGCTGGTCTGCCTCGGCCTCCTCGCGGTGGAATGTATACATGACCTCGCCCAGCGCCTCCAGCACCCCGGAGCGCACCTGCGCGCTATCATCTGTAGCAAGCGGGAC